GGTTATCAAAAAATTTTCAAGAATTATTACAAGTGGTTCAAGCCTATCTCACAAATAAAAAATCTAATTGAACGTCCATGTTTCAATTATGTTAAGGTTACTGCACATCTTATTTCACTTTGCAATAATGTTGTAAAATTTATTTATAAGCTACTAAGCATAATTGGAATAAAGTTATTTTTTGAATCGATTTAATCTTCAAAACTGCCGACTTTAACTATTATAGTAAGATTTAATAAGTTTTAGACTCTTCATCGTAAAAATAGTTTATAGCACATATTAAATAACAAATAGTTTTGAACTGATAACAGGGACCTACGACCTAGTCTATGTTAGAACAATATTTGCTCATTACATATATTCTTTGGGTTTTGATGATAACAAAGTATTAAAAGAACAATGGTGTTATCTAATGTGTGTTCAAGTATGCAAGTTCTTATACTTAAAGATATATTCAAAATATGATATGAAGGTACACTTGAGAAAAGCTGAGTTACGTGTTTCTGATGATACAAAATATGAAGAAACTTGTTAAGTGATGTCTCGCGTAGACTCTGAAGCTGAAGGCCTCAACATCAGAAGAAGTAACATATTGTCTATACACTTGGTGATTGTATTGGCTTCTGGTGATCGTTCAAAAGTAGTAGCAAAGCTGAAGTTGTCAGTACTGTAGAAAGCAAGTTGTAATGTCAAATCAGTTAATCAACCATAATCTAAGTTTACAAGGCTAAAAAAGAGTTGACATGCTTTACGGATAACCAATTTCGACGATTCTATAGTACATGATCTCTTCGAAGACATAATGGTTAAACATGTTACACAATGAATCAAGATCCGTTGGTGTATCTATCTTCAACGACTCTTGTACTATGGGAAAAACAAAGACTTTTGATTAAGTTATCTCTTTCAACGGCTAGTCTTCTACAAACTTCTATATAAGTGGCTAAATGTTCAATCTGAATCTACAAGGAATAAGAAGAAGAAGGAATGTCAAAGAGGATAGAGGTGTTTAGAGTCTCTATCTGAATGAAGAAATAACAAGATCAACAATGTACAATACTACTGAATATGCATAATCTTCTGTTAATTGTTTTAAATTGTAAACAACCTTAAGATTTCCTAAACATTGAATATTATGAAAATCTTAAGTGCTTTAGATCTTGTTATGGTGATTACCTTGTACCTCTGATTTTTATATCAAGTACACCTTGTTCTCTATTCTACTAAACATGTTGCTCAGTAGTTTAGATCAAAGTCTCTTGCTATGTGCTTGAGCATCAAAGTCTCTAGTTGAGAAGCTTGAGTCAATTAAGTCTCTTACTATATGCTTGAGAATTGAAAGTCTTGATCTGTTTTGATTAAGCAAAGAAGTCTTGGACAATGTGTCTGAGTAGTGAATTCTTGAATTGAGATGGTATGTCCGAGCAGAAGTCTTGAACCAAATGGGTTTAAGCAAGGAAAGTGTTAGGCAGGGTATCTGAGAAAGAAAGTCTTAGATAGATTTCTGAGCAAGGATAGTCTTAGGCAGAGTGTTTGAGCAAGGAAGTCTTGACCTAGGTGAATTTATGTAAGGGAAGTCTTAGAATTCGAGGATTTAAGTAGAGAAGTCTTGATCAGGTGCTAGTTGAGGAAGGAGTCTTAGACGGTAGCTATGAGCAGTAAAAGTCTTATGCTTAAGTGCATAAGCAGTTGTAATCATGAGTTGATTATAGTGAAAAATGTATGGCGAGGCAAGGGGCTGGAGTACTCTCGGTTGGAGAGGAACCAAGATAAATCTGATGTGTCCATGGTTCTGTTTACTTTACTTCTGATACATTAATCCGCTGCATTTATAATCAGAATCTGAACTAATGCTTAGAATCTAAACTCCGTTCAGAAGCAGACACATTTTTTAGTCAACACAATTCAACCATCTTTCTTGTGTGAAATTATTTGGCACATGCAACACATGATGATGGTTTTGATGTCTCAACATCAGAGTACAAAGTCATGACATATATTTTAATATCTTCAGACTAACAGAACAATTTATCCAACTGTAAATACGCAAAATTTTAAATGCATAAAGATAAATAGCACAGTCAACTGGTAACCCAATTCAGTGCAACATCACCTACATCTGAGGGCATCCAAGCCAGGACGGAAATCCACTATGATAACATTAGTGCAAAGCTAAACTCCCCTGTTTACAACTTCTCTCCTAATCAATACTAGTGCAAATTCTACCTAGAAAATGTCATCTAGATATGAGAATCCCTTCTCACTTCCTAATCACCTCAGTGATATCAAACAGTCCCAATCCCAGTGACTGTATAAACAACAAACAATAGAAGTATCACACTTCTAAGACAATACTCGGTTTTGCTTAAAAGCTTCAACCAAAAATAATACACTCTTGCTTAAAAGCTTTAGAATGGAAAATGAACAATCAATCAACCTCAATGCATCACAAGATACATGAGTGACATACAATTAACAAACAATAAACAATCTTTCTATGACAATGTATCACAAGATACAAAGGGTGACTTACAAAGTCACACACAAGAGACTCTCAAAACTAATGCTATAAAACCTCCCCTTATTTTACAAAAGTAAGAGTCGTGAGATACAATAGGTTTAGGTATTCTTTAAATAGCCTTCAGAACTTGTGGGCTTGGGCTCTTGAGGCGTAATTAATCAGAAATTAGCTTGGAATCATAAGCATAATCTCCTGCACAATAATAGGATAAAAATACAAAGTTTCCTAAAAAGGCTCAAGGATCCTTTTTATGAAAATTAACAGAATCTGCAATAATAGAAATTCCCATAATATACTCCCATAAAGTTCACCCACGTGTGCATCAGAACACACTAAAAAATCACACGGAAAATACCAAAATGGAAATGCCCTAACTATCTGGTATAACATGTCCTGGAACATGCCACAATATCATGCAGAACATGATGTCTGACTATCATGGCAGAACACTTAGTTCAACGTCTAACAGCATGTTGTTTTACCAAAATGCAGCCAATCCAAAAGTCATAGAACTTACAATCTTTCCCTTTAACAAATTTTGGCTAAAACAACCTTTGCACAACAACTCTGGAGAAGAGGAATAATGCCACAAAACTTGCAAACAGAAAGATATCAGATATAAAGTGCAACTACAAGCCATTAGAGGTTACAACTCCTTCAACCTCCAAATTAAATGTCAGGACATATGATCTAACATCACAACTTTAACTCAGCAACCTCAGATAGGTCTATTTCTCCCCCTGTCGCACATATCCAACACTCCCCCTAAAGGGGAAAACCCAAAGCACAAGGCAGAAAAACATGAACTATCCAATTTCATGCATTAGAAGTGTGTACAACAGAAGCCACACATATTAGAAA